ACACACACACACACACACACACACACACACACACCTTTATTGGGCATTACATTTATAAAACATTACACATTACTATACCAAAAAAATTGGCTGACACTGAAATGTATTATAAGTGGCATATGATCAAGAACCAATGATATTGAAGGAAGAACCAAAGGCATTGGCAAAAAATAAGGCCCCAAGAATTGATGAAATACCAATTGAGGTGTTTCAGTAAGCAGATGCAGCCTTGGATGTGCTCTTGGGTCTACACTGAGAAATCTGGAAGATAGCTACCTGACAAAGTAACTGGAAGAGATTCTATTTGTTGCCATTCTCCAAAATTGTGACCAAACAGAATGTGAAAATTATTAAACAATATCTTTAATATCACATGGCAGTAAAATCTTGACAACTATTTAAAAATGACCACAACAATAAATTAAGAAACAGAGAGAAATTCAAGCTAGGTTTAGTAAAGGCAGTTCACTGAGGGTTAGCATGCTGATGTTAGGTAGATCATGTCTGAAAGCAGAGAATACCAGAAAGATGTTTGTGTTTTATTGACTATACAAAGGCATTTGATTCTGTGGACCATAACAAATTTTGGGAATCCAAGAACACTTAGTTATGCTTATGGGAAATCTGTAAATTGAGGATGGTGAGAGTTTGTCTGACATCTTTCAGTTATGTTATCAGGAGGGGCCGGTCCCTGGAGAAGGACAAGAAGCCTGGCAAAGTAAAGGGTCAATGCCAGAGAGGTAGACCTTCCAGAAGATGGATTGACACAGGAAGTGCAACTATATAGGCTTGTCCCAGGCAGAGATTGTGAGGACCCGCAGGTTCAGGCCAGGTTTCCATGCCCTACACCGGGCCACTGAGTCAGAGCCACCCCGACCTCGTGAGGACAGTAACCACCTCATGGACTCAGGGCTGTAACAACACGCAAGACTAAGGCAGAAATAAGCTACAAGAGGTGAGGTGAGTCCCTGCTAATACCATGCAGCTTCAGGATCCAGAGAGCGGTGCAAAAGGAAAGCCTCAGCATTAGACCAAGATGGGCGTGAGTCGGGTGGAAGAGGAGGACCAAATAGCATACTAGATTCGATGGTGCTCCCCAGGCAGCAGGCAGGGACCTGTGAAAGTGACCTGACTCGGCAAGAGTCGTTGGGGATACAAGCAAATGAAGGATGCTGAGGGGTGACCAGCTTGGATTGTCCCAGTGGACTCTAAACTCAGTGAGAGCTGTCCTTCTAAGAAGAGAGGAACGGCAGAGAGAGGAACCCACAGAGAGAAAGCTGCCAGTAGCAGGCGAGAGAGGCAGAGACTGGGGCCATGCTTCTCAAAGTCCAGGAATCCTGAGGCCACCGTCCCCCCACCCCCAGAAGATGCAGGAGACAACGCAGAATTCTACTGTCCCCTAGGGCCTTGTGAGGGAGCAAGCGCCTATTGTTTGAAGCCATCAGGTTTGGGAGGGGTTAGGGGGATAGTGGTAGTGGTGGTGGTGGTGGTGGTGGTGGTGGTGGTGGTGTAGGAGTCCACAGGGAATTGCACTGCTAACCTTGCAGCCAGCCTCCATCGCTCCGCTTTGTTGTTGTTCCCCTCCTACTAGTGGAGTCCCTCCAGAAGAAAAGCCTGGCGGTCCGCTTCTGAAAGGGCATAGAACCCGGGTCGCTCGCTGCCAGTGAGCATCCACACCCCCCCCTCCCAGTTTTCCATTTTCTATCAGATAGAAATCAACACCAAGGGAACAGTACAGCTTGGCTGCGCCTGCAAGCACAGCAACACCATGCTTGTCCGATCCAGGTATACGCGCTTTGCTTTATTTCCCTGCTCCTGTCCCCAGGACAGAGGGGCGAGGGGCAGGGGCGAGAGGCAGGGGCGAACCCCTTGGGCGCGAGTGGACAGACCCCGCCAGGTGCCCCAGCCCCTGTCAGACGCCCTGTCCCGAAGGGGAGATGGCTTCCTGCAGGACCAGGTGAAGGAGGTGATTCTGCTCGGCACTGAGCAGCGGCCACAGCTCCCCCTGCAGCGACTTGACGGCCTCGGTGTCCTTCTCATGTGTGGCCATGACCAAGGACTGCAGTAGCAGAAAGAGCTCCTCGGGAAGCTGGCCGCTGCCCTCCTGCCCGTGACTGTCGAGCGCCTCCCAGGAGTACTTCTCCAGGGTCTGGGCGTGCTCTGGCAGCAGTTTGGCGGGTGGGGGCTGCAGCAACAGCAGCAGCAGCACACGGGTCACCTCGCAGCGGACCAGCACGTCGGAGAAGGCGCCCAGCGCGGCGGCGGGGGCCGCGGCGCTGCCCGGGAGCGGCGTGGGCAGCGCGCAAGCGGCATCGGGCCCCGGTACGGGCCCGGGGGGCTGCGGCGCGGCGGGGCCGGGAGGTGGCGGCGCTGGCTGCACCGGGTGAGTGCCGTGCTCGCGCGCCAGGCGCTGCATGCGCGTGAAGAGCGCCAGGGCTGCATTGTAGTCCCGCGCCAGCAGCTGGCAGGAGGCGGCCTCACCGAGCGCCTGCAGCGCGGCCAGGGGCAGCTGGGGCAGCTGCAGCTGGGCGGCGCGCTGGAAGTGGCAGGCGGCGGCAGCCGGCTGGCCCAGGTCGCGGAGGGCGGCGGCCAGCTCGAGACAGAGCGCGGCGGCGGCGGCCGGCTGGCCCAGCTCGAGGTGCAGACGCACAGCGGCTCCCAGGGCGGCGGCGGCGGCCTGCAGCGGCTCCCCGTAGGCCGCGGGGCAGACCAGGCGCTGGCGTGCGTCGCGCTCCTGCTGCAGGAAGAGGCGAGCGGCCTCGGTCAGAGCCAGCGCCTCGCCAGGCCCGTGGAAGAGCGCCTGCTGGCAGCGTGCCACGGCCAGCTGGCACCAGGCCGCGTAGGGCAAGCACTCCTGGGCGCGCAGCTCGCGGCCCAGCTGCCCGAAATGCTCGCCAGCCTCAGCCACGTTCGGCTTCCGCAGGAACCGCTTCTTCAGCTTGTTAGACACCTGCCGGTACCGGGCCAGGAAGTCGCCCGCCTCGGAGCCTGCGCCCGCGCCGCCCAAGGCTGCCCCGGCAGCTGCCATGCTCGCTCGCTCTCGGCTCTGGCCGGAAACCTGGGGGGCAGGGGGCGGCGGAGGGGAGGCAGGGGGTGCGCGCCTACCTCGACTTCGCCAATGACCGGGTGGGTGGTGGCCGCGACGTGCCTGGCGGCGGAGGCGGAGGCGCACCCGCCCTCCCTGTTGCCGACAAGCAAATGGAGCGCGCAGAGGCGGGGCTGGGCCTGGCACCGCCTGAGCGTGCGCGTGCATGAGCGAGCAGGCGGGCCGGGACCTGGGTGGCACCGGCGGCTGCTAGATTACGGGGGCCTGATTGACGGGGCCTGATTGACGCAAGTTGCCCGGGAAGCGTGAATCCTGGTGGTGGTGGTGGCGGTGGTGGTAGTGGTTGGCTTTGCTGCTCTTGCTATTGGGTGCATCCGAGTGGACTAGCGACCCTCTCAACATCACATGGATGGAGAGATGGAAACCTTGCCCTGTCCTCACAATCTCTGCCATGCTCAAGGCCAATTTTGCAGTCACCTGCACACACGCACACATGTATCTGCTAGGAACAAATCATTAAATATACAAAATTCAGTCACTCTATCTCGTCTCATTTCTATCACCAAGTTTGAACTTTCTGATTACCATTCCTTCCTCATTGTTTACAGCTTCTGCATCCCAGTCACCAATAATTACTAATACATCTTTTTAAAAAACACAAATGAATTGCTTTTATTTCGGTATGCATCCGCATTTCAGCATTTAGTGGTCCTGAACACAAAGACGGAAAAAACACAGCAATTTATCTGGAGGTCAAACCCGCCAATTTTGGGATCTGCCGCACACACCCGAGTTCTTTCTGAAGCCCTGCTGAGGATCGTGAGCAGCAGCACCAAACCGACGTGTGCACCGGCTTCCAGGTTCTTGTTCTGCTCTAGTTGTAAGACTCCAAGCCAGACCCAATGGATTGCAAGGATGACCAAATGAGAGCCTTGTCTGTTTAAAACTTCTTCCATTTTTAAAAGCAAAAGCAATTACAGGAAAAGAAAACATTCAGAGGGACAGTGTGTGCTTACCAGTGTCTTCATGTGGCCTTTCTCCAAGCTTACCCACCAAGGATTTTTTTTCCACCAAGGATTTTGAGAGCTAGCATGTCTGAGTAACCTTGCTGATCGTTCTTGCCACCATATCAAAACCTGAGCTAAAACAACCCATCAGCTGATGACAGCAGAGGGTGGCAGGGCTGAGGGCCTCATGTTGGTGTCCCAGGCTGGTGGAAAGGGAATCAGTGTGGTTAGAAAACTAAACGAGGGAGCTCAAAGGCTCTTTCCAACCTTCCCTAACGGTTTCTGGCCAAAGCAAGGAAGTGTCGTGGGAAGTGTGGGGTGTGACGGTGCAGGAAGGGACTCTGGGAAGAGGAAAGCAGCAGCAGCAGCCCCTCGATCCTGTGGGGGAAGACAAGATGTGGGGAAAGCCCTGAATTCCTCACCAAATGCCAATTTTAGAGGGGAGTAGAGGGAATTACAATCTATGCTTCGGCCAGGGGTGGGAGTGAAGGACAGTGGGGAAGGATGGCTTGGAATGGGGGCACCATTTAAAAAGATTTATGCACCCCATGCACCCAGCAGTATTCCCATAGGCTGTGACCGGATACCTTCACATCTATTCTAAGAAGCCTGCCAGAGCTGGAGGGCTGTTGCAGGGAGAGGGGGCTGGAGGCAGGGGAGCGGCAAAGGGAGAAGGCATAGACCCCAGACCATGTATCAGCAGCAAGGTGATTGTGTGACATGTCTCTTCAAAGTAGAGTTAGATGCGCCCCCCCCACACTTACGATGGGAAATCGATTTAAATACACTTTCTTGATCCCAGGAGTTCATCTACATGGACAGTGGTTACATGTGACGAATGATTTGGTAGAGCACAACTCAGGTATTTCAAATGGGAAAAAAAAATTAGTATCATTTACAGGATCTTAAGAGAAATTGCCCTTGAATGGGAGCTTCCTTTCCAGTACTTCTGAGGTGTACAAGACATATCTAGAAAACTGACTACTGTGGAAAATGAAGACTGCTTACATCAAACAGGGAGGAGGAGGGCCTATGGGTTTCCTTTCTATTAATTGCTGTAACGCTGTCCTTCCGGAAGTTGAGGGAATTTTATATTTTCTTTAGACATCATTAGGCATGGAAGCTCCTGCAGGACTACTTTGATGCTATAGGAATTCTGCCACTTTGCTAGCACAGAAGATGGCTTGTGAGTTCACCACTCCATTAGAACTATTAACTCCATTCATATTAATTTTTGTTACAAGTCTTACAAAGGGGAGTGCTTCTAGGTATTTAGGTCCACGTTCTATTTTAAGGCTGTATATCCAGTTTTTATAAATTGTTCTTGGAGGCCCAATTATCATCCCTGTCCATCTTGTAAGTGCCATGTCTTCATCATCTTCTAGACCCCAGCCAACTGTGCCATCTCCTACTCCTTTCTGGCCCTTTTCAAGTTCTCCCAACAGTTGAAAATTGCGAGGGACTTTTACTCCTGAGCCTGTGGTGGCTGCCATTTTGCATCTATTAATAAATCTTGATTGTCTTTTTGGTCCATTTCCAAATGCAAAAGTTTGTTGTTGTTATATGCCATTGAGTCACTTGTGATCCTATGTATAACCACTCTGAACCCTGCCTTGTCCTGAGCCAGTCTCACTAATTCTGACACACCAACCCCCATTGCCCCAGTCAGTGTAACAATCCATCTCATCCAGGGTCTTCCTCTCCTGCACTGACCCTCCACCCTTTCAAGCATTATGTCCTTCTCCAAGGACTAGTCTCTCCTGGCAACATGCCCAAAGTATGTGAGGCAGAGCTTCAAAATCCTTGCCTCCAAGGATAAAATTTGTTTCACCATCTCTAAGACAGACCTGTTTGTTCTTTTGGCAGTCCATGGTATGTTCAATACTCCTCTTCAACACAACTCAAAGGTAAAGATTCTACTTCTGTTATCCTTCATCATTGTCTAGCTCTCCAATGCATGGCAAATAATTTTGAAGACCATGGCCTCCTCAGCCTTAGGCACACTTTAGCCTCTAGACTAACATTCTTGCTCTTCAGCACTCTGGAGGAGTCCCTGACAGCAAATTTCCCATGCAATTCATTCTTTTTTTAAATTTCCTGACAGCTGGTGTCAAGGGTGTTGACTATGGATCTGAGCAAGATGCAATTGTTAACAATCTCAATCTCTTCTCCACCTCTCAAGATGCTGCCAGTTGTCCCAGGAGTGAGAGTCTTTGTTTTCTTGATGTTGAGTTTCAATCCATATTGAAGACTATAGTCCTTGATCTTCTGCAACAAATGCTTCAGGTTCTCTTCAGTTTCAGCAAGCAAGGTTGCCTCATAAAGTCCAGGCTCCAGAATTATCTGTCCCACATATAGATAGAAAAGGTATGGAGACAGGATGCATCGCTGATGCACTCCTTTCCTGATTTTGAACCATGCAGTGTTTCCTTGCTTTGTTCTGACTACTAGTTCTTGGTCTTCTTGGTCAAGTATAGGTTTTGGTTTAGCACAATTAAGTGTTCT